GTTGTGATACATTAACTACAATGTTGTAAAACATTAAAATCATTTCAAGCAATAGATAGACAGAACAGAAATAAATGAGAATACAGGGAGATTACTAAAGTTGCAAAAGCACAACACAGTTAATCTGTTATCCAATTTTCAATAAGAAACTATATTGATAGATAAATAAGAACGAAAGAAGATAAAAAACAAGAACTTGTGTAAATAAGTATATTGCAGAAAATAAAACATTATAATGTGAAGCCACAGAAAACATACCTTGAGTGTCCTTAGAGCTGAGAGAGCTTCTTGTTGAGCAGCATCCGCAGCAATTGGAATAATAATACGCTCAAATTGTTGTTCTTTCATTGTCTGAAAGCTTTTATCTTGATGCAGTGAAAGACTCATTAGCTAGAATCAAAGGTACCGAAGCGAAAACTAATATATATACTGAATCGCAACAAGAAAATGTAGATTATCTCCTTTAAATTGTTTGTTTGAAAGAAGAAGTCGGACACTAGGGAGAGGGAGGGGTAGCACTGGGTGAGCTTGGACCAGGACGACTAAACGAGGTACGGGTGGAAGTACTCCGGTTGGTTGCCGTCTTCGAGGACGAAGTTTTGGAAGAAGGGTGGAGGGAAATTTGTAGCCTGCTAAAATTAGCTAGATAAAAGGGCTTGTTATTCTGTTGGCATACTGACATACAATCCAACAGTTCGACTCGGACCTTCTTAGTTGAAAAGAAAAAAAAAAAAAAAAAACAAATCGATAGTTTCGTCTCCCCGAACTCTCCATTTCGATCATTCCCCGCTGCAGCCCTAAAACAAAACAATTCGCTAGCATCTTCCCCCCGCACTCTCCATTTCGATCATTCCCCACTACAGCCCTAGTCTCTAATCCACTTCCATGGCCAACTTCCCTCCCCTCGGGGATTACGTTGGCCCAAATTTTGGAATCACTGGTATTGTCGTCTAGGCCATCGTTGGGGTACCCACAGATGAGAATATAGCAGCTGAAGCTCACAGGCGCAGACGTCTCGAGAACCACAGAGAGATTCTTCCAGCTGTTGTCGTCGCCGAAGCTGAAATAAGGTATCAATCTGTCTTAAATTTAAAAGTTGGTCCTGGCCCTCTCCAACCCAATATGCCCACTATACCATCCATTATTCAGCACGAGTTAGACACCATTACTCAGTCCCCACAAGACATTCAAGCGTCCCCACAAGAAAATAACCAGATCATACAAGGATTGAACACTACCGTACAAGGATCGACCAATACTCTCCATGTTCAAGACGTCCAAGCTGGATTTGGCAGACGATTGGATGCTACGGTCCGGAGCCTCTTTGCTCGAAGAATAAATCGGGATATCACAATCTCTGAGCCCCAAGTGCCTTTTGAGATCATCCTAAAGTAGTACCCGAATCATCCGTCGGTAGCTCCCCCTCAAGTTCAAGGGGTTCAGCTTAACAACCACTATGAAATTGCTGCTAACCCCCATGTGGGTCTCGTACAGGCGAATTTCGATGAATTTCATGTTATGGGTCAGCTCGATGATAGGGACTTTCGGAGTAGGCCTGCTAAAATTAGCTAGATATAATAGATTGTTATTCTGTTGGCATATTGACATACGACCCAACAGTTCGACTCGGACAATCTTAATTTAAAAGAAAAAAAACAAGCTTTTTTATCTAGATAATTTTAGCAGGCGTGCTCCGAAGGTCCCCATCATCGAGCTGACCCATAGCATAAAATTCGTCGATATTCGCCGGTACAAGACCCACAGGGGGTTTAGCAACAATTTTATAGTGGTTGTTAAGCTGGACCCTTGAACTTGAGGGGGGCTACCGACGGATGATCCAGGTACTGCTTTGGGATGATCTAAGGCACTTGGGGCTAAGATCTTATGATAGCCCGATTTATTCTTCGAGCAAAGAGGCGCCGGACCGTAGCATCCAATCGTCGGCCAAATCCAACTTGGATGTCTTGAACATGTTGAAGGGTATTGGACGATCCTTGTACGGTAGTGTTCAATCTTTGTATGATCTGGTTATTTCCTTGTTGGGATGCTTGAATGTCTTATGGGGACTGGGTAATGGTGTCTAACTCGTGTTGAATAATGGGTGGTATAGTGGGTATTTGGAGAGGGTCATCACCAACTTTTAGATTTAAGACAGCTTGATACCTTATTTCAGCTTGGGCGACGACAACAGCTGGAAGAATCTCTTTGTGGTCCTCGAGACGTCCGCCTGTGAGAGCTTCTGCTGCTATATTCTCATCTGTGGGTACCCCAACGATGGCCTCGACGGCAATACCAGTGATTTCAAAATTTGGGCAACGTAATCCCCGAGGGGAGGAAAGTTGGCCACGGAAGTGGATTGGGGACTAGGGCTGCAGTGGGGAATGTTCGAAATAGAGAGTGCGGGGAGACAACGCTTTCGAATTG